TGGCAGCACAGAGAAGAGGAGGGAAGACTCTGTTTTCAGGAGACAGGTTCTACCCAACTCAAAATTGTAGGAGTCATGGGGCCCTTCCACACAGCCCTATATCCCAGAATATCAAGGTACAATATCCCACATTATCTGAGTGAGGACTCAGATAACCTAGATCAAAGCAGATATTGTGAGATTTTCTGCCATGATATTCTGGGATATAGGGCTGTGTGGAAGGGCCTATAGAGAAGGTATGGAAAGGTGCAGAAAGGATATGTGATGACTGGCCATCCCAGAAGACAGGGAAAGAAATGAGGGAACAGGATAAGACGGTTCCCTCCACTTTCCCAGAGCTCATGGGATTAGGTCCTTAGTGTGAATACAATGTCCAATAGTCCATGTTTTAGAGAAAAACAATGTTACACCACTCGGGGCCCTTCCACACAGCTATATAACCCAGAATATCAAGGCAGAAAATCCCACAATATCTGCTTTGAACCGGGTTATCTGAGCCCACACTGCGATATATTCCAGTTCAAAGCAGAAAATGTGGAATTTTATTCGGCTGTGTGGAAGGGGCCTCAGGCAGCACTTGTAAAAGTTACCTTGTTGGACTGTAATTCCTGTAACCTTCTCAAACAGTATGGCAAGTGGCAGATTTTGGGAGAAGTAGTACAAACAAGTCATTTTCTAAGATCAAATTTCAGAACTGCAGTTTCACAACAAACATTTAAACTTTGTAAGCTTACAGATCCTTTTAAAATCCAAATTAGTACTGATCATGGCAATAGAGCAGCCCTCTTTAATGGAAGAGTCTCTATTTTTTAATCTTTGCACTCCTGTTCAAGGAATGTTACAAAAAATGTGTCTTCGTATACTCTGTGCTCCAACATTATCAAACAAATTCAGCACCTACAACTTTAGAAGCCATTTGCCTACTAAATTATAAATGTAACCATAAATATAAGTAGCTCATTTTAAATCCAGGTGTGAGTCAAAGAAGAAGAAGGTTAGATTATAGAGGTTGGCCAAATATTCCTATAATAGAAATGCGGTGGCAGTCAACTAGAGAAAGCGTCTATAAATCCATAATATTATATGCAAAATTGGATCTAAAGCTATTTTGTTTACTATTAGAAAAGGTTTGTGAAATGAAGACATTAAAAATCTACTGGGGATTTTTAAAATACAACTTTTGCATAAATCTTGTATCTATAACCTGATCTTAGTGACATATATATTAGCGGGCTTGTTTCCATTTCATCTTCCGTTGAACCAATGCTGTCCTACAGTAATAACCAGCCAGAGAATAGAGCTATTTGCTGCTGTCATAAATAAGAAAGGGTGTCACGGATGTTTTCATTTGACTGAGCAGTAATGGAGTTAATTATACTTCCAGTCTCTTTGTTTTTGATCTGTGTTTCCAAAGTCATCTCAGTGTCCTAAGTTCCCTCTGTACTTTTAACCTTTACCAACCCCACCAACCTAAATTACTTCATTTAGATACTTTTTCAAAATCTGTCATGATTTTGCAACAATTATTGCTGGTGGAAGTCTAAAAATTGTAGTCAGTCTAGAATAAATACCATTTAAATTCTTCATTTAAAAAGTATCCAGAAAGAAATGTCTTGCCAAAAATGCTACAGTGACAAATGACATTGTTAGAAAATGATTGTGATCTGTTACTATAAATATATAAACATGCCCTTAAGACAAAAGGCCTCTTCTGTCATACCATGATATGATTCCTCTTGCTCCCAGTAACTATTCTGTAGGGATATAATAAATGTATAAACGTTATGCAGAATATATTATTGTTATGTTGTGTCTGTGAGATGGCTCTGGTAGAAATCTAGATATATGTTTATTGTTTTTTTCCCCTGGAAGAGGTACATGGATACCCACCCCTGCAGTAAATTTTCATAATTATATATGCACCCATGGGATCATTTGAAAGGTCGCTTATAGACATTACATGCATAATACAGACAAGTGAGTCCCATACACAGACAAATACAGTAAAGTATCATGCTCTTAATTCATTTAAGGATGTTCAGTTAAGATGTATCTGCAAGATGAAGTTCTATCAATTTGATGCCAGTATAATTAGCATGTCTCCATCGTCTGGAATCTGTAGAAATATAGTTTGATGAGATACTTAGAATTCTTTGCTAGGGAATGTAGTGCATTCCCATGAGTTAAAGTTTGCAAAGCACCATGAGAAAGGGAACTGAGGGTCAAATGCAGTCAACCCTCCATATTCACAGATTCTGCATTCACAATTCAACCATCCACACTTAAAATATATATTTTTTAAACATTTCGAAGACAATCCTTGATTTTACATTTTATATAAAACATACTACACTGCTGTGTATAGGAAGACTTGAGCATCCACGGATTTTGGTATTCATGGGGGCTCTTGGAACCAAATCACAGCAGATGCCTAGGTATATTGTACATGTAAATCTGTATTTTAGGCAGGCCCTCCTGTATTTTAGTCAAGTTCCATTTTAACTGCCATAGCCACATCCAATGGAATTCTGGGATTTGCAGTTAGGAATATGTACTTGGATTTCTAGCCAGAGTGATGTAGCGCATCACAACAACAAAACTTTATCACAACACTGACCAGCACAAAGCGGGGCACAAGCACCCTTGGAGGGGAAAGGCAACTCCCCAGTAAAACAGTTATTAAAAGTAGATTAGAAAATAGTTTAAAATCACATTTTAAAACACAGGCTATTGTAACAGGTATGGAGTGCATCACTAAACTCCAAATCCCAGGATTCAAATTGATTTTGCAATGATTGTTAAAGTACTGTAGAATAATAGTGCTACAACTATGAAGTTCAGGAGTATAACGGAGGATACCCCAGTACTTCACACTTCTTCTCCCAAGGTGGTTTCCCATTCTGCCCAGGATGCAAACAAGAAAGAAAGAACACAAACAAGCAATGTAAATAAAGAAAAATACACAAACATTGGTCAACATTATCCCATGCTTTCTGAGTACGTCTGTAAACCTTGAGGTTTCCCTTGATTTATCCCAAATCAGTAGCGACTTGCAGTTGCAGTTTCTCAAGTCACTGCTCTCTCTCACACACACACACACAAACAAATCCCAAGCTTTCCGGGGCCCATTCACACTACAGAATTATAGAATGTGTGCTAATAAATTGTTTTAATTGCTTTTAAAACATTTTTAATGTACTATTGATTGTTTCACGATGTTGGCATCGTATGGTGCTTTTGTGAGGCCGCCCTGAGTTCCCCCTCAGGGGTGAGAAGGGTGGGGTAAAAATATAGGAAATAAATAAATAAATAAATATGATGCCATTCAATGAAATCCTGGGATTTGTCATTTGGTAAGATATTGGAGCACTTTGCCTGAGAATTCTAAATAAACTTTCTCTACATAATCAATCCCTGGATTTCACAGGATATTGCCATGACAGCTGAAGTGGAACAGGAGCACTAGATTCTGGAGTGAGGGTAGACCTCTATCTCATTATCTATCACTGTCCTACCTACTTACGCTCAACAATCCTGATGTGAGATATAAACTAAAGTGAGAAGGCACATCCCCCTGCCCCCCAGTTTCATTGAAGGAATCAGACATCAGCACGTGGTCAAAATGGCAAAAGTTATAAAAGGGATTTATGCTGCCATTTGTCTATAGAATATGATAAGTCTGAAACTCAACTCCATCATGATAAACCCCAGAACTGAAATGGCTAACCCCACCAACTGTCCTGATTCTGCAAAGATGTACCTTGAGGTAGAAGAAACATCCCAGTGCAGGCACAATGGAAAGTTCATTAAAGTTTTGGGGATATTGATTTATGTATTTATAGCGTGTTAATATCCAGATGCCAGCTCCCTAGGGTATTAGAAAATTTGAACATTAAAGGACATTCCCCCAAATGTGAAAATGGATGAATGAAATACTCATATGATAAGCAAGATATATGTGTTTTGATAGCAATGAGATTGTCTAACTAATCTCCAAATCTAACCCAGCCAATTCACTCCAGATCATAATACTGAGATGCTGGTATATAATTTATTTGATGCCAATATAATATTATGTTTTGCCATCAGTGAAGCAAGATTATGGCAACAAGAATGATTGACAACTGGGAAATAGAGGGAGAAAACGTGGAGGCCGTGACAGACTTTGTATTTCTAGGCGCAAAGATTACTGCAGATGCAGACTGTAGCCAGGAAATCAGAATATGCTTACTTCTTGGGAGGGACAATGTCCAATCTCGATAAAATAGTAAAGAGTAGAGACATCAGACTGGCAACAAAGATCCGCCTAGTGAAAGCCATGGTATTCCCTGTAGTAACCTACGGATGTGAGAGCTGGACCTTAGGGAAGGCTGAGCGAAGGAAGATCGATGCTTTTGAACTGTGGTGTTGGAGGAAAGTTATGAGAGTGCCTTGGACTGCGAGAAGATCCAACCAGTCCATCCTCCAGGAAATAAAGCCCGACTGCTCATTGGAGGGAAGGATACTAGAGACAAAGTTGAAGTACTTTGGCCACATCATGAGGGGACAGCAAAGCCTAGAGAAGACAATTATGCTGGGGAAAGTGGAAGGCAAAAGGAAGAGGGGCCGACCAAGGGCAAGATGGATAGATGGCATCCTTGAAGTGACTGGACTGACCTTGAAGGAGCTGGGGGTGGTGACGGCCGACAGGGAGCTCTAGCGTGGGCTGGTCCATGAGGTCACGAAGAGTCGGAGACGACTGAACGAATGAACAACAACAAAAGGTAATTGAGTTGTCATATAGCAAAATGGTCCCTATTATTGCTATAATTATTTTAAAAAGACATATTATAATGCACTGCTGGGAAATATAAAATATAAAATGTAAAAGACATTTATAAAATGGACTTTTTGGATCCTGTTTTACAAGATTGATGGGATTCAGCTTCTCTATAGGTGCATCCACACTGCAGATTATAGCAGTTTGACACCACATTAACTTTCATGGCTGAGTGCTTTGGAAGTTTTGATTTGTAGTTTTGTGAGATACTTACCCTTCTCCTTCTGAGCTTAGGCACCACAACAAACTACAACACCCAGGATTCCATAGGATGGAGCTATGGCAGTTAAAGCGATGTCAAACTACTAATATTCTGCAGTGTGGATGGAAGGTAAGTTACATGTTCTATTTTTTCATGTCAGGAGCAACTTGAGAGACTGCAAGTCACTTCTGGTGTGAGAGAATTGGCTGTCTGCAAGGACATTGCTCAGGGGATGCCCAGATGTTTTACCATCCTGTGAGAGGCTTCTCTCATGTTCCTGCATGAGAAGCTGGAGCTGACAGATGGGAACTCACCCTGCTACCCAGATTTGAACCACCAACCATTCAGTGAGCAGTCCTGCTGGCATAAGGGTTTAACCCATTGCGCCACTGGGGGCTCCTACATCTTCTATTAACTTAATTAGAGAAAAAAGAAATTCAGCAAAAATATGACCATAATAGCATAGAGCCAGGGCCGGCCCTAGGTAATTTTCAATGGTAAGCAAACATTATTTTGGCGCCCCCTCCCCCCAACCAATCACTGAAAAATAAAACGTAGAAGGTAGAGGTGAATAAAAGAGTTACCTTACAAACCAGAAATTTACTTACAACATTATGTTTATATAGTTACATTACACAAATTAACTTTTTTAAGAATGCAAATATTTTACTAAACTTAGCAACAATTTTAAGTTTTTGTTGTTATTTTTGGTCTACAAGTACTACACAAAGGTTTCCTGGTCATGCTGTCTCTTCAGAGAAGATTTTTCAGACTAGGGGTTTGCTAATAACAGAGAACTCAATCCCATGCTTGTTGGGTCTGTCAATCAGATTTGTTTTGGAGAACGCAGCCCCAGGAGAATAGACACCTCCTTTTTAAGAAAGTGAACTCTTGTCCTTCAAAAGTGCCATGCCAGCCTGGACCATTACAATGGGTGTGGCAACATAGTCAGCCTCTGGCCCCTTCACTTTAGTGGATACTTTGACATCCAGTTTTCCTTAACACAAATAAACTTGAACACTTTTAAAATTAAAAAGAGATTTTTCTGGATTTCAATTTTGAAAACTCGTGTACTATTATATCTGTTTCCATTTCATCCAACAAGCCATTTTCAATGGCCAAGGTTGCTAGTCCACTCAAGCGCTCTTGACTCAAAGTTGATCTTAAATACGTTTTTGTAAGTTTTCTAAGATCTACAGAGACACTCGCTGGAACACCTCAGCAAGCGAGAGTCCAAAAGTGGCAGGCTCAAACCCAGCACCTCAGCCCATGGCTGATACCAGATGAGAGACTCCCCCCTGGGCACACAGAGGACTGGGCGACTTGGAAATGGAAAGGAATCACACAGGATCATATTTTTGCAGTCCATTAAGTGTGTTGATGATAAATCAGATAAAGGAATACTGGGGAAATTAATATAAAGTATAAAGTGTGTATAAAGGGACATTACATTTGGTAATCTAATGCAGGCTTTAAAAGGTTTTAAAGATCAAGTCAGGGTCTGCTGCAGTTTTTAGTTTTGGATATGTTTTTTATGGATTTTAACTGAATTTTTAAAATACCAATGATATTTAATTCCATTTTAATGTTTGCATATTTGTGGATTTTAGACTGTACTGAAATGTTTTTAATCTAAGCCAACTTGAGTCTTCTTGGGGAGAGAAAAAGCAGGGTATAAATAAACATAATAATGTGTTGTGGAAGGCTTTCATGGCCAGAATCACTGAGTTGCTGTGAGTTTTCTGGGCTGTATGGCCATGTTCCAGAAGCATTCTCTCCTGACATTTTCCTCACATCTATGGCAGGCAACCTCAGAGGAACAAAATCTGGCTACCAGTATTTTAAAAAACCCCTCTAAAATCAGGACAGTAAATAAAGAGGAACACTAAAAAAAACAAAACAGAGGAATTCCTGACATGAAGCAATCAGGGCCAGTTAACCGTTCCCAACAAAGGATTCCTGGGCAGCAACTAGCTCGGCTTCGAAGCTGCAAGGCCATTAAATACTCATCAAGATGACCAATTGCAACATTCACACTTACCTCAAGCAGACATGAGTTCTTTTTCCCACCCTGGACATTCCACAGATATACAAACCCCACTTGCCTAGTTACAAACAGACCTCACAGCCTCTTGAGGATGCCTGCCATAGATGTGGGTGAAACATCAGGTGAGAATGCTTCACCAAGCACCAAAGAGCATTCTGAACTCCACCAATAATAGAACTGAACCAAACTTGGCATACAGGACTTCCATGACTAACAGAAAATACTGGAGAGGGGGTTGGGAAAAATAGACCCTGACATTTGGGAATTGCAGTTTACCAAGCACCAAAGGACATTCTGAGCTCCACCAAAAATAGAATTGAACCAAACTTGGCATACAGGACTTCCATGACTAACAGAAAATACTGGAGAGGGGGTTGGGAAAAATAGACCCTGACATTTGGGAATTGCAGTTTACCAAGCACCAAAGAACATTCTGAGCTCCACCAACAATAGAATTGAACCAAACTTGGCATACAGGACTTCCATGACTAACAGAAAATACTGGAGAGGGGGTTGGGAAAAATAGACCCTGACATTGGGAATTGCAGTTTACCAAGCACCAAAGAACATTCTGAGCTCCACCAACAATAGAATTGAACCAAACTTGGCATACAGGACTTCCATGACTAACAGAAAATACTGGAGAGGGGGTTGGGAAAAATAGACCCTGACATTTGGGAATTGCAGTTTACCAAGCACCAAAGACATTCTGAGCTCCACCAACAATAGAATTGAACCAAACTTGGCATACAGGACTTCCATGACTAACAGAAAATACTGGAGATCGGTTGGGAAAAATAGACCCTGACATTTGGGAATTGCAGTTTACCAAGCACCAAAGAACATTCTGAGCTCCACCAACAATAGAATTGAACCAAACTTGGCATACAGGACTTCCATGACTAACAGAAAATACTGGAGAGGGGGTTGGGAAAAACAGACCCTGACATTTGGGAATTGCAGTTTACCATGCACCAAAGAGCATTCTGAACTCCACCAACAATAGAATTGAACCAAACTTGGCATACAGGACTTCCATGACTAACAGAAAATACTGGAGAGGGGGTTGGGAAAAACAGACCCTGACATTTGGGAATTGCAGTTTACCAAGCACCAAAGGACATTCTGAGCTCCACCAACAATAGAATTGAACCAAACTTGGCATACAGGACTTCCATGACTAACAGAAAATACTGGAGAAGGGGTTGGGAAAAATAGACCCTGACATTTGGGAATTGCAGTTTACCAAGCACCAAAGAACATTCTGAGCTCCACCAACAATAGAATTGAACCAAACTTGGCATACAGGACTTCCATGACTAACAGAAAATACTGGAGAGGGGGTTGGGAAAAATAGACCCTGACATTTGGGAATTGCAGATTACCAAGCACCAAAGAACATTCTGAACTCCACCAATAATAGAACTGAACCAAACTTGGCATACAGGACTTCCATGACTAACAGAAAATACTGGAGAGGGGGTTGGGAAAAATAGACCCTGACATTTGGGAATTGCAGTTTACCAAGCACCAAAGAGCATTCTGAACTCCACCAACAATAGAATTGAACCAAACTTGGCATACAGGACTTCCATGACCAACAGAAAATACTGGAGGGGTTTGGGAAAAATAGACCCTGACATTTGGGAATTGCAGTTTACCAAGCACCAAAGAGCATTCTGAGCTCCACCAACAATAGAACTGAACCAAACTTGGCATACAGGACTTCCATGACTAACAGAAAATACTGGAGAGGGGGTTGGGAAAAATAGACCCTGACATTTGGGAATTGCAGTTTACCAAGCACCAAAGAACATTCTGAGCTCCACCAACAATAGAATTGAACCAAACTTGGCATACAGGACTTCCATGACTAACAGAAAATACTGGAGAGGGGGTTGGAAAAATAGACCCTGACATTTGGGAATTGCATTTGTGTGAATTATAGTTCGCCAGGCACCAAAGAGCATTCTGAACTCCACCAACAGTAGAATTGAACCAAACTTGGCATAAAGACTTCCATGACCATCAGATAATACTGGAGGGGTTTGGGAAAAATAGACCCTGACATTTGGGAATTGCAGTTTACCAAGCACCAAAGAACATTCTGAGCTCCACCAACAATAGAATTGAACCAAACTTGGCATACAGGACTTCCATGACTAACAGAAAATAGTGGAGAGGGGGTTGGGAAAAATAGACCCTGACATTTGGGAATTGCAGTTTACCAAGCACCAAAGAACATTCTGAGCTCCACCAACAATAGAATTGAACCAAACTTGGCATACAGGACTTCCATGACTAACAGAAATTACTGGAGAGGGGGTTGGGAGAAATAGACCCTGACATTTGGGAATTGCAGTTTACCAAGCACCAAAGAGCATTCTGAACTCCACCAACAATAGAATTGAACCAAACTTGGCATACAGGACTTCCATGACTAACAGAAAATACTGGAGAGGGGGTTGGGAAAAGTAGACCCTGACATTTGGGAATTGCAGTTTACCAAGCACCAAAGAACATTCTGAGCTCCACCAACAATAGAATTGAACCAAACTTGGCATACAGGACTTCCATGACTAACAGAAAATACTGGAGAGGGGGTTGGGAAAAATAGACCCTGAGATTTGGGAATTGCAGTTTACCAAGCACCAAAGAACATTCTGAGCTCCACCAACAATAGAATTGAACCAAACTTGGCATACAGGACTTCCATGACTAACAGAAAATACTGGAGAGGGGGTTGGGAAAAATAGACCCTGACATTTGGGAATTGCAGTTTACCAAGCACCAAAAAACATTCTGAGCTCCACCAACAATAGAATTGAACCAAACTTGGCATACAGGACTTCCATGACTAACAGAAAATAATGGAGAGGGGTTGGGAAAAATAGACCCTGACATTTGGGAATTGCAGTTTACCAAGCACCAAAGAGCATTCTGAGCTCCACCAACAATAGAATTGAACCAAACTTGGCATACAGGACTTCCATGACTAACAGAAAATACTGGAGAGGGGGTTGGGAAAAATAGACCCTGACATTTGGGAACTGCAGTTTACCAAGCACCAAAGAACATTCTGAGCTCCACCAACAATAGAATTGAACCAAACTTGGCATACAGGACTTCCATGACTAACAGAAAATACTGGAGAGGGGGTTGGGAAAAATAGCCCCTGACATTTGGGAATTGCAGTTTACCAAGCACCAAAGAACATTCTGAGCTCCACCAACAATAGAATTGAACCAAACTTGGCATACAGGACTTCCATGACTAACAGAAAATACTGGAGAGGGGGTTGGGAAAAATAGACCCTGACATTTGGGAATTGCAGTTTACCAAGCACCAAACGACATTCTGAGCTCCACCAACAATAGAATTGAACCAAACTTGGCATACAGGACTTCCATGACTAACAGAAAATACTGGAGAGGGGGTTGGGAAAAATAGACCCTGACATTTGGGAATTGCAGTTAACCAAGCACCAAAGAACATTCTGAGCTCCACCAATAATAGAATTGAACCAAACTTGGCATACAGGACTTCCATGACTAACAGAAAATACTGGAGAGGGGTTTTGGAAAACTAGACCTTGATATTTGGGAACTGCAGTTTACCAAGCACCAAAAAATTCTGAGCTCCACCAACAACAGAATTGAACCAAACTTGGCATACAGGACTTCCATGACTAACAGAAAATACTGGAGAGGGGGTTGGGAAAAATAGACCCTGACATTTGGGAATTGCAGTTTACCAAGCACCAAAGAACATTCTGAGCTCCACCAACAATAGAATTGAACCAAACTTGGCATACAGGACTTCCATGACTAACAGAAAATAATGGAGAGGGGGTTGGGAAAAATAGACCCTGACATTTGGGAATTGCAGTTTACCAAGCACCAAAGAACATTCTGAGCTCCACCAACAATAGAATTGAACCAAACTTGGCATACAGGATTTCCATGACTAACAGAAAATACTGGAGAGGGGGTTGGGAAAAATAGACCCTGACATTTGGGAATTGCAGTTTACCAAGCACCAAAGAACATTCTGAGCTCCACCAACAATAGAATTGAACCAAACTTGGCATATAGGACTTCCATTACCAAATACTAGAGAGGTTTGGGGGAGGCATGTACAAAAGATGACATTTGCAGTACCTTTTGACGAGGCCTCCTTGCTGCCCTGAGAGGGATCCAGGCTCAGCTGCAGGGAAGGGAAAGCGAAAGCGAAAGAGCCTGGCTGGCTGCCTCCCTCCTGGCAGCACGTGGAGGGAGGACTTCCCTCTCGCCTAGTGGGCGGGGCCTGCGCTTCTCCATTAGAAGGCTGTTGAGGGCGCATGGGGCCTCCAGGAGGAGGCGTGGCCTAAGGACAAAACAGCGCCCCCTGGCAAAAAAAGTATTCCGCCACCGCTTACTTCGAGTAATGGACGGGCCGGCCCTGCATAGAGCTGATGTTTGTTTTGGGTTGCTGTGAATGTTCCAGGCTGTGACTCCGGCCATGAACGCCTTCGACAACACATTAAAAATATATTCCATAGTAATAAACATGAAACAATTTTACTTTATATTACCTAATCCTAAAAATCTAAAGCCAGATTCAAATGCAGTGAGACCAACAGGGAGAGAACAATTACCTTTTTTTCCCTTGTTGCTTCCAGTTTCCTTTTCTGCTCTCCCAGCTTCTGAACATTTCCACCCTAGTTTTGTTCAATCTGCATGTGCATATTTGTTTTTCTCATCTAAAAGGAAAAGTGTATGAGCAATTAGTGTCCTCCAGTCTTACTCTTTGAACTTTCTGCCAAAGAAGTGAAAGAGACCGAATAAGCATTGCACTTTGAGCTCTGAAAAGCTCCCCCATTGTCTGTAATAGTAATGGATTTGTCCAAGTTTTACCCTTTGTCAGGGAAGGTCAGGGTGTTATGTTTTTGTGTATGTGCGTAATTTTTTTCATCTCTAAACTCTTTCAGCCTCTGAATCCAGTTTGCATATTGAGCTTCCAGGAACTATTTTCAACTTCCAAGGGCATTTGAGCATGAAGAACACATTTCTTGATGTCTTTAGCTACAAATTGGCACGCAGCTGGGCTTGCAGTAACACTGTGAGGAGGGGGCCAACATCTTCAATTCGCTGTTTATTACCCAGGAAGTTCTGATCAAGTTTATGGTTCTAAGGACTTCAACATATCAACTCCACCGAAGAACAGGACAAGCTATTGTAAATATGAACCATCAAAGCACCAGCCATTTCAATGAAATGAAGCAAATCAATTGTTTTTCATAAAGGTGCCTTTCAGATCTCCTTTTTCATCTTCTCCATTTCCATATGCTTGACTATGGGGTGAAATAAATTAACGATGAGGATCTTCTGCCACTGTCCCATTAATTTCTGGGGGGGGGGGAATTCTAATTAAAAGTACATGTTATTTTACTTGATCTAAATAAACAGATATACCCCCAGAATGTGCACAATGAAGTTTGTATGTACATTGACTATATCATATTACATAGTTGTAGCACTGTGATTCCACATTAATGTTCAAGGGAACATCCTTTGGAATCCTGGAATTCCATAAGATGTTGCCATGGCATTAAAATGGAACCATGGCACTATAATTGTGTATTTTGAAAGGTCCCAAGATCAAAGACATTGTGGTTGTATCTGCCTGCTTCCCCTTATTGAACCACATTGGCTATGCCAATGAGAAAGACACAACTGAAAAGGGGGTGAGGTTAATAACCTTGTTTGGAGAACATGAAATATTTTACCTAAGTAAAAGCTCCCAGTCGGTTTTCAGATTTTTAATGTAAAACAACTGAAGGACATGCAACAACTTCTACCAATAATAATAATAATAATAATAATAATACACTTTATTTATATTCCGCTTTATTTCCCTGGAGGGACTCAGATTGGATTACCATATACACATATGAGCCAAACATTCCATGCCTTTTACACACAGTGAACAACAACATACAATACAGACAAGGTAAAGGCCTTCTCCTTTTTTCCATCTCTGGTGTCTGGAGACCATGCTCAACTCCGGCCATGGGGAGGTGCTCTTGTTCCGTTTTTCCCATGCCGAGTAGCCTGTTGTCCATAGACATCTCTGACTGTGTTGCTGGCAGGTCTGCATATCTGCATGGGGTGCATTTTTACCTTCCCGCCGAGGCGGTAACTATTGATCTATTCACATTGCATGCTTTCGAACTGCTAGGTTGGCAGAAGCTAGGGCTGATAGTCAGGAGCTCACCCTGACTTGCAGTTTCGAACTGCCAACTTTCCAGTCAGCAGTTTTCCTGCAGCTAGCAGTTTAACCTGCTGTGCTACCATGTCCCTTACTGCTACTGCGACCCTACAATAAGGAAATACCAGAAACGTCTTTCTGACTTCACAATCAACAATCACCATTGGGTTGTTGTAGGTTTTTCGGGCTATATGGCCATGTTCTCTCCTGACATTTCAACTACATCTATGGCAGGCATCCTCATAGGTTGTGAGGTCACCATTGTCTTCTCAAACTCATTTACAAGTTAATAGTCGCCATATCATCAGCACCTCACTCTGCCTAACAACAGGGTTGATTCAGTTCTACACTCTGCATTTATAACGTCAAACTTCTTAGCAGTATCAGATGTTTGGCAAAGTAATATATATCCAGAGCATGATTTGTTTCCCTTTCAAAATGTGAGATTCCTCTCAGGCAGTAAAACTACTTCAAATCTATTATTAAAGGCTTTCATGGCTGGAATCACTAGGTTGTTGTAGGTTTTTCAGGCTATATGACCATGTTGAAGAAGCATTCTCTCCTGACGTTTTGCCTGAATCTATGGCAGGCATCCTCAGAGGTTGTGAGGTCCTCTGAGGATGCCTGCCATAAATGCAGGCAAAATGTAGAGAATGCTTCTAGGACATGGCCATATAGCCCGAAAAACATACAACAACCCAGTTCTTCATATGTTATCCTCTTCCAGATTTTAGATCATAAATTAATTGATTTTTTCAAAATAAATACAGAATTTATCCAGGACTGAAGAAGAAGCAAAACAAGGGATTCTTCAATGTACTGGAAGTGAAATTCAGTTATGAACCTCTTTTTTTACCTGTAGTAATGTTCCCCACCTATTCAACTGCTGCAGGGGAGAATGTCAAATTGCTTGCTTGTTTGTTCATATTTGGGTAAAGTGCTCATCTGTTTATTATAAAAAGCTTTGCCTCTGATTCATCTTTTCTGTTTCATTCTCCCTGTGGCACATACATTAGACAAGGCTAAGTGGATAATGGGCTAGAACAATCAGAAGGATGACGATGGGTTACAGAAACAACTATGTAAGGAAGAACACATGATAAGTGATCTAATCAGAAACATATAGGCTTGGTGCCATCTCCCCTGGAAAATGTGACCTTATGGTAAAGTTCAAAAGCATTTCACATTGCATATCATTCATGCTGACTCTTGCTAGTTTTAATCTATCACACTAGAGATGCTGATGATTATGATCATCATGACCATCTTCATAATCATCATGACAATGACGACGACGGTGATGATGACAAAGACATATTCTCCAAATATTCTGATTTGGCAAGGACAATCTGGTTAATATTCTGTCATTCCACTTTTTCGGCTGCTTTTACAATGCTCCAGCTACTTTTTCCTCTTTCTACTTTCCCCCTTTCTTCTGAGCTTACTTCAGTTGCTGCAAACTGAATGTAAAGTGAAAAAGCCATAGACACTGAATTAACTCAGCAGGAAGGAGAGGAGAGGGTGAACTCATTAATAAGTTTTGTCACCTTGATCACAGTGATATTGTTTGGCTAGTGTTCCCCTTTTTTTATCTGTGACATGCTGATGGTGAGGATGAGAATGATGACGATGACATAACCTACCTCACTTTGAGGAACCTCTGGCGAGATGTCTGTCAAGCAACCTGGACATAAGCTACATAGGGATTTAATCATAACCTGCACTTTATAATAACAATAAGATCTTTGTATTCCACCCTATCTCCCCTAAGTACATTTGAATTGTATCTAGAGACAAATAGCAGCTACTGGAGCTGATGGAGAAAAGAGTCATATGATCCCTGTACTCTGGCTGCAGTTCTTTGTACCAAGAGAAGTTTCTGAACACTCTTCAAAAACATCCCTATATTGTGCATGTTACAATAATCCAAATGAGATGTAACTAAAGCAGTGGTTCTCAACCTTCCTAATCCCGTGACCCCTTAATACAGTTCCTCATGTTGTGGTGACCCCCAAACATAAAATTATTTTCATTGCTACTTCATAACTGTAACGTTGCTACTGTTATGAATCGTAATGTAGATATCTGATATACAGGATGTATTTTCATTCATTGGACCAATTTTGGCACAAAAACCGAATACTGATGGAGTCGGCGGGGGGGTGTTGATTTTGTCATTTGGGAGTTGTAGTTGATGCGGTTTATAGTTCACCTACAATCAAAGAGCATTTGGAACTCCACCAACGATGGGATTGAACCAAACTTGGCACACAAAACTCCCATGGCCAACAGAAAATACTGGAAGCGTTTGGTGGGCATTGACCTTGAATTTTGGAGTTGTAGTTCACCTTCATCCAGAGAGCACTGTGGACTCAAACAATGATGGATCTGGACTAAACTTGGCACAAATACTCAATATTCCCAAATGTGAGCACTGGTGGAGTTTGGGGAAAATAGACCTTGACATTTGGGAGTTGTAGTTGCTGGGGTTTATAGTTCACCTTCAATCAAAGAGCATTCTGAACCCCACAAACAATAGAATTGAGCCAAACTTCCCTCACAGAACCCATATGACCAACAGAAAATACTGTGCTTTCTGATGGTCTTTGGCAACACCTCTGACATCCCCTCACAACCCCCCCCCCGGGGTCCCAACCCACAGGTTGAAAACCACTGAACTAAAATCTATGCCATCATGGGCAAACTAGACCTCTCCAGGAATGGGCACAGTGGATGCACTAGCTTTAAGGTTGTTAGAATATATTTTGTTCTTTATTTTTACTTCAGAAAAGAAAGAAAAGGAAAGGGAAAAATACTTCCAAGCTGTAAACGCTATAGCCACGTTATAGAACTGGAACAGACTGTGGACAACTTCCAATGATTTGGGGGCCAGATTATCACTATAGCCTCAGAGAGACACACCTGCTGACTCCTTTGAGCCCAAATTATCCCCAAATGGACAAATGTGCTTCCTGTGTGTCTGTATGTGTCTGAATATTTTGTTGCATTTGAGATTCCTTACCATTTTACTGTTTCAGTTTGGCAGGACAGTCCCAATTAATTCTCTGTCAGCACATTTTCAGTTATTTTTAAAATGTCCCATTTTCTATCTAAGGTGACATACTTCAATGGACAAGCGTCTTCTCTGAAAAGAACTTCAAAATTATATGCAGAACCATGGCATCTATAATATACTATACTGAATGAAGTAGAAAAGTGGTCTGAGCCACACCGATGTTATCTATAATGATTAGTGGATTTGATGGATT